TATATATATACATATATAGAATAGACCTAAGACTAGGTTTTCTTTTTGAAATTTGCCTGTTCTCACTTCTCAAATGACAGTTGAGCCATAATTCAAGGAAGAATGTAATAATGGGAAATGCGAAGATCCCGAAATCATTCCGTCGGGGTTCGTAACCGTTAAATCATCATGTAATCGTCATCAAAATAGTTGATCCAACTATTACAAACCTCGACGGAATGATTCCGTAACGAGACCGTAGCATCTTTCTGTACTAATAATATTAATAATGTTGTTGTTTGTTTATTATGTCTTGTGCATTCGTTTTACTCATATAGTCCACCACACACATTTATGCATGGAATGGAAGCTACCTAGATATGCTATGAATTTTTTTCTAAGTTGGGATGTGTGTGATTCTACCTAAATCACATGATTAAATTAATGTTTGATGTAATAATGATGGATTTTGTTATTTGTATTGTTTAATACTTGTTTTTTTTTTTTTAATTGATTTTGGGCATGATAGACGCTACCTTTGTATCTACACATTCACCTCTTTCCAACAAAATGCGCTGTTGTTCAAAAGTGTCCTCTCTTCAACTTTTTCCACTGTTTGGAATAATTATTACCTTTTTATATTTCTTTTTGGTTTTTTATTATGCCTCAAATCGTCGTCATCATCATCACCATCAAAGTGAATTAGTTTGTACATGTTTTTTAGTAGTAATTAAATATTTAGTTTTAAATTCAGGGTGGAGAGTTTCATCGAGCACCAAGATGCCTGCAGCATGGGCCGATTCCAGTCGAACATCCAGGCGCCACCCTCCGCCTGCCTCTCCCGGACAGCCTCCAGCCCCAGCCCCAGCCCCAGCCCGTCCAGCGACACCAACCTCAGCGTAGGCCTGTGGCCCGGCCCGAACAAGAATCCGCCTCCCATTTCCCAACCGCCGCCCAATCTTGAGCTCGAGCTCCTCACCCGTCCCACTTCTTCTGCTCCCGACATCCCTCCAGGTGGGACCCCATTCCTGGATCAGGCCCGACTGCAGGCCGAGAAGAGGATGAGAGTGGCCATGACAGAGAGGGCCCAGGCGGAGGAAGCGAGGGCTCGGGCCAAGCGGCAGCTGGATTTGGCCGAGCAGGAATTCTCGAACGCGAAGAGGATAAGGCAGCAGGCTCAGGCGGAGCTCAAGAAGGCTCAGGCGCTGAGGGACCACGCGGCCGATCGGATGAACTCGACCATTTGGGAAATAACATGCCATTTGTGTAGGCGGAAGTTTGAATCCGGTGTGGCTGGTCCACCGCCAGAAGCTGCGGCCTCGTCCTCGTCTTCCATCGGGTTGAGCTACATATCAGCTGCGCTGAGGGAATGGGAAGTCAGAAGAAGTGATTGAAAAAATTAATTAAAGAGGAGAAAATTGCCATAAATATTAATAATATCAAATGTTTGTAATTGAAGTTGATATTTGATTTGATGAACGAAGACTAGAGCGTCCGGACTCAACATGTGCATAGGGAAGCCAATTTTGCGGCTAATTATTTAGCTGCGCTAGCGGCGTCGTCTCCGTTTATTGTGCTAAAGGTTACCAACCCGCCTTCAGGGCTGGGTGAGTGGTTGAATCACGATATTCGTGGGGTGGCTCACCCCCGACGTGTCCTAGTTTCGTAGTTGGTTCTCTCTACCCAAACCAAAAAAAAAAAAAGTTGATATTTGATTGGATTTTATTTATTTTTATTTATTTATTTTTTTATTTTTTTGTTTTTGGAAGGTTCATTTATTTGGTGGGAGGTTTTATGGGGGGTTAGCTGCAGCTGTAGGTACCATAATGGACTTCTTTGTTCTTCAGAAGACTTTTTCAGGAACAATTATAGTGAGGGTGTTGTATTTAAGGGTTTTCGTTTCCCTTTTATGTTACATGTCTATTTCCATGGGGAAAAAGATGTAAGGTTTACTTGGTCATATAAATGTTCATTGGATTCGCATTAAATGGCTATCTATCTTTGAAGAGGCTTGAATGTTTTTACCTTTTCACAAGACCTGATTGATTGTGCTTCTTTCAGGTTTTAAAATGGACAAACTTTCGGTGAATTCTAAAGGTGGGCCAGGATAAATAGTGTATATATATATCGCTATCCTTTTTTTTTTTTTTTACAAGGACCTTCCGGTTTCCGGATCCACAGGGGAACCGACTAATCCGGAATCGAGCCGGGTAGGACCACAAGGGTGGCAAAGCTCTCCCTCAAGAGTTTTAACACTGCTGCATTCTCAGGGCTCGAACACGAGACTACTGGTTAAGCTGGAAGAGACCCAAGCCATAAGAGACCCAAGCCATCTTATCCAAGCAACACCTTAGGGGGTACGAAAACCCCAATAACATCATGAGGAAGGGCGGAGTTAAGGCTGAACCCCCAACCCAACATGTACATAAAAAAGGTTCTAAATGGGCAGTAAAGTCACAAGTCTATAAGTTCAATGTCTAATATACATCAAGTCAAACGAAAGCAAAAACATAAACAAGAAAATATATAAGAAAGATTGACAACATCAGCAAGAGTAACATAGAAGTATCAGATCTGGTCCGGAAAGAGTCCAGGCGAAAAGTCAACATCATGGGAGGCAGATGCGTCAAAAGGTAGGACTGGCTATACAAATTTAAATGAATGGTATCCTATTTGGTCCATCCGTATAAGGGTACGGAGGTAGAGTCGGGGTAGATGATGTGTCTCTGGGGGGTGGAGGACCCGATGCCAGTAAGGAAGTCAGCGGGTCGGTTCCCTTCGCAAAAGATGTGCGAGATCCCAAAACGAATCGACTGGAGTGTGGCTCGAATAAGAATGAGAGGATGCGGAATTTGCACGTGCCTGATGACAACGACAACGTCCAACTCTATCCAATTGTGAAAGGAGATCGAGGCGGCAATCTGAAGATCAATATGTAAGAGAAGATTTGATCTTTCCTTATATATATGTCACAGTTTTCAACTAAATTATGGTAATTTGTAATTTTACATGTCAATTTTTGGTCATTGAGTAAACCATATAATTAAGTCTGGAACTTGCTCATGCCTAAATTTTAAAATTATGAAAAAGTTGACTGAATTTGATTATAAAAATACTACAAACTTTACTAATATATTTATTCATTATCAACATTTCATTTATAATATATCAAATGAACTCAATTTTTACCATCTTGTATTTGATGTCCATTAATGTACATATTGAATAATTAATTATACATGTATAAAATGAGAAATTCTATGGCACTACATGTGGCACCATATTATGGTGCCACAACATGATGTGTGATAGTTGTGGCACCAATTATAATGTGTCACATCATGTTGTGGCACCATAATATGATACCACATGTGGTGCTATAGAATTTCTGTGTATAAATGAGTCTTGCGTGTATATAACTATATATATTGTTTTGAATGAAAAATAATATTATAATGTACCAAAAAAATCAAATATACTCCCTCTTATTTTTTTTAAATGTCATTCTAGCTTTTTCAACTATTTGTCAAATAATGTCGTTTTGAATCTTTTGTACATATTTTTCCATTAATACCCGCATTTAGTCAATAAATACATTACGTCTTTTCATATTCACTCTTCACTTTTTCTCAAAACATTCATCTCTATCTTCATTAAATAAGGTTTTTATTGACAAAAAAAATATTCTTAATTAGTATGCAACTTTTCAAAACGAAATATATTAAAATTAGGAGGTAGTATAAAATTAATTTTTTTAAGTATAAATATATTAATTAACACTTACACTATTCAAATTAAAACAAAAAAAAAAAATGCAATTCCCTAATTTATTCACCAATTTTCTTGCCTTCAATTTGTACGTATTATTTGATTGACGTCCATCATTATATATTTTAATTGTTTGTGCGACTCTTGTCAGCAGTGGACAATATAAAAATTTCAAACCTACATTACTACCAACAAAATTGAGATCCAGTTGTGATATCTTTAGTAAAGAATCATATTAAATTTCATCTTCATTAATGACACTGACGATTTTCCATTGGTTATTACCTGCCATTGCTAAAACACGGTGTGCTATTTATAGGGCTGAACACGGGGCTTGAAAATTATCGAACCGTTTCGGAAACCGAATTGAATTCTCCCGAACTGAAAAATAGACCGTTTGACTATTTTCGGACCGCACCGTACCGAATTTTTTTTTTTTTGTTCGGTTTCAGAAATACCGTGTTCGAAATCTCCAAAGTTCGGTTCAGTTATAGAGATTTATGGATCTCCGAACCGAACCGACATGTGCTCAGTAGCTAGCTAGCAACAAAATACACTGTTTCTCAAGATTCTTGCAAGTAATAAGTGGACATAAGACAAATTGTATAAAAGATGAAAAATCATGACCGTGTGTATCTTGTTTTTGTGTGTGTGTGTGTGAGTGAGAGAGAGAGAGAGAGAGAGAGAGAGAATTATCTGCCTTTAACTTTTGGTGGTGTTAGATTTTAGTGTTTGGACTATTAGAAGATCTTTGTTGGGTGAGATGATCAGAGAAAAGAAAAATTATTGGACATGAAATGAAAGCGCCCCTTCTGTCCAAACCCCCCAGGCATTAAAGAAGGCCACTGCCATCAAATTATTCTATTAATACATCACATATTTATTATATTATATATATATATATCTATATATGTATATTCTATACACAATACCCGTATACTACACGAGTGTTGAGTTAAAAAATACATGATAAAAGCTATTGTTAAAATAAAAATTTTATTTCAAATTTTGGTGGACTTATTGATGAAAAAAAAAAGAAGAAGAGAGAAATAGACACTGAGAAAATGATTTATAAATTGTAATTTAGGAGAGAAATATTGTAGAATATTATAATATGGTAAGATTGTTCCTTGCCCAAACTAAGAAGAAAATGTGTACTAAGAGAAAAAAATAACAAAATTAAATCTACACTGATAGCTGTAAGAAGCAAACCTTGGTTTCCCGTTCGAGTGCCGAGTCTGAGTATCGTGCTCTTGCTGATTCCACTGCATAGCTATTATGGTTGCGTCGATTACTTGCTGATCTTGGTGTCCCTCAGTCATCCTCTATTGCTCTTCATTGTGATAGCCAGAGCGCTGTCAAGATGTCTCATAATGATACGTTTCATAAGCGTACCAAACATATTGAGATTGATCGTCATTTTATTCGCCAGCATGTTACCCATGGGACTGTACGACTTGTTTCCTCTCCTCTTCGGATCAGATAGCGGATGTCTTCACGAAGTCTCTCCTTCCCGGTCGCGTTTCTTTACTTCTTAGCAAACTCAAGTTGATATCTACTATACCACCTTGAGTTTGAGGGGTGGGGGTGTTAGAATATATTTTGTATATATGGTTATAATATATTTTGTATATATCTTGTAGGATTAGGTTTAGGCTCACTATGTTCCTATATATATGTGTACATGTCTTGTGAATAATATAGAACATATATTTTTCCCACTTTCTTACAACGGCTAATTAAAACTCCTTTGGAGAGGTATCAAAGAGTGTTAGCACTCTTTGCTAACAAATTGTCGGCCTACGAATGTGGTTTCGATCCTTCCGGTGATGCCAGAAGTCTTTTTTTATCAAGTTTGAAAAAAAAAATTATGTCTAATACCAATCATAACTTCAAAGCAAGAATAAAGATATAAACGACATTATGTAGCATAGATTTTCGTCATGTCAGCATCCAAAGCGTGAGAATCTGTCATTTAGACCATCTCCAACCGAATACCTCATACTCAAACTCATTTTGCAGTACTATCCCATTTTGCAGTAATTCATCTTCAACCGAAAAATTCATTCTCCAACTCAAAAGAATATTCTCGAAATATTCTCTTTTACATCAACTTTTACAACTTTTCAATACTACCTACATATTTTACAACTTTACAAATTAAACCACTCTATTATATTAATTTCAATTTGGACTTTATGTATTAAAATTATTTATAAAGTTATAATCAAATGCATAATAAAATCGAAAAAATAAATATTTATTAAAAATTGAAATTTAAAAAACACAACACACAAGATAAAATTAAAAAATACAATGCACAAATAAATAATATGTATATTTCACATTATTATTGTGAAATATATAAAATTAAATAATAAATATAATATTTATTATTTTAAATATTATAATATCTAATTTTTATGAAATTATATTTTTAGTATTTTACATTATTATTGTGAAAAAATATAAATCGATATCCATATTTACTATATTATGAAAAAATATAAAATAAACACTTGGGTTTGTATAAATGTTTCAAAAATATTTTTACTGTTATTGGATTAAACTTTTTGTTAAATATGCACAATAAATGTTTTAGAATTTTAGTTATACTATATATTTT